CGCTCAGATCTGATGCAGTAGAAAATACATTATTATAGATAATGATAAATATAACCAGAAAACTCAGGAAGAAGGTTGTGAGATGTCGCTGGGCTCCAGCTGCTGTTGCAACCTGTATTTTAGTCCTATTATTAGAGTTCCCACAGCTGTGATCTCCTCAATCATAACCTCTCACTCAGTGGTATTGGGTGGCTGTACCTGCACTAACTCAGAACTTCAGAGGATAATGTAGGAGATCACACTCTCCCCTATATAAACGTATGATGCTGACAGGCTTGAGGAAGGCGGCTTTGTCCCCGAAATGCATAGCCATAGATACCAGTAAACTATTTTGGACTCTGAGCTCTCATGTACAATGCACAGTAAATGTGGGAGTTCCCTACACTTCTACACCATGGCTGACCAGCAGACAGGATGCTGGATACAAGCTTTCTTCTTTCATATGCAATGTGAGTGCATTATGTACCGTGTTTCCCCGAAAATAAGACACTGTCTTATTTTTTTTTTTGCACGAAATAAGACACTAGGTCTTATTTTCGGGGGATGTCTTACCTGGCTGGGGGAGGACCGGACGAGGTCCCGGAAGGCGGCGTGCTGTTGCCGGTCCCGGCGGATGATACTCCGCTTCCATCGTGCGTGCGGGCGTGTGGGCGGGGCGGGAGCTGCGGCCGATCTTTAGATTCAAAATTCAGTTTATGTGCCGCTACCCCGAAAGTAAGACCTAGCGGATTTCTGTAATATAAGACCTACCACCGAACTAGGTCTTATTTTCGGGGTAGGTCTTATATTACAGAAATCCCCGAAGATAGCGCTAGGTCTTACTTTCGGAGTAGGTCTTACTTTCGGGGAAACACGGTATGTCTTTGGTTATTTATATTAAAGTGTGTTACGCTGCTCCAGATCCATTTGCTGTCTCCAACTACATATGAAACTCTGGGCTCTAGTAACCCATGGGACTTTCTATGTTTGGCATGCCTATGAATTTCGAAAACCTTCTACCCAAAAAGGATATTAAACCTGTTTGTTTTTCGTGTAAATGTTTGTTGTTTTTTTTAAAACAGAAATTGTGTAACTGTTTACTTATTGATTGGTGCCTTAAAGCAGAACTCCAAGCTATTTTTTCTACCCCCACACTGCAAGGATTAGGTGCACGTTTTGTCAAGCTCCTCAGGCTTGCTCTTAGACCAGTCCCTGGAGCCTCGCTTCCCCTCCACTGCAGCGGTCTAAGGCTGGCCATACACTGCTCTAATTTTCTTGTTCAAACCGCAGGCTGAAACCGTGCGGCCCCCAAAATAGTGCAAGCGCGATAATCTGGCGGATTCCGCACGTTCACGGATATTTAATAGTCGCAAATGAGCGTCATCCGCGCAAGCTAAACAGCTTTTTTGCCCCGCGCGGTCTTCCGTGAGAAAACCGTGAGGGAAACGTCCTCCCTTGATCCAAAGCTCAGTATATAGCTCACTATATACTGAGAGCGCCGCAGCCGGGACGGATCCTGTCAATACTGTCGCAATCCACCCGCCTGTCTGATTGACAGCAGGCTCTGCCTATCTAGAGGCAGAGCCAGCTGTGCCCGCCCCCTTCCCCATCCATCGCCGTATGAGCATCGCAGAGGGGAGGAGGGGGAATCCCTGCAGGGAGATGATCGGGAAAGTGAGCAAACGATGATATGTGTTCGCTCACTTCCCGATCAATAGAGCCGATCTGTGACAGTTTCATTGTCACAGGTCGGCTAGAACTATGAGGATGAGTGGAAATCACTCACCTCATGGTTCTCCTTTAAGTCCTTGAAAAGTCTCTTACACATATCCCCTGCTTCTACCTGTAATGGGGAACAATCCCTGAATCATCATAACTGTGCACCCAACTATTTACCAAACCTGGAACCTGTTTAAAAAGATAATGTAATGCCATATTGACAAACCCCTCACAAACAAAACCATGTGCACAGTTTGTCGGAATCCGCTTCAGCTGTGGCGTCTTAGTATACCGCGAGCTAGAGCTTGCGCTATACTGAGCCTAGGGTGACGGGAGGACGCTAGTTTGTGTCCTCCTGTTACCCTAAGGAGAACTATGGGGAAAAGCCTTAACCCCATAGTTCTACTTTAACCATCTTTATGACAAGGAAAGAAAAGAAATACTCTGATCAATCCATTCTCAGAGCAAGGGATAAAACCTGTTTACTCTTTATTTTTTTCCTTTGGTGACAGACTTGGAAAACTCTAAAGGTGGCCACACACTTTACAACCATTGCAAGACCCTAGTCTTGCGATGGTTGTAAAGTAATTAAAAAAATGTACGATCTGCCCATCTTGGAAAGACAGATTGTACTTGCGATCATCGCAAGCCCGCCCCCCTGAGGGGTGGTCTTCGGATGACCGCAATGCTGAACGGGCAGTGTGCGCGTGCGTCATTTGTCTCCCGAGCATCATTCAAACGGTTTTCTAGCATGCTCCTTAGACAAAAGACGTGCGACCGTACAGTAGAAACGGTCGCACGTCTTCATTCACACTGCACGATTCTCGTACGATCGCGGGATTTCCCGTGATTCTCGTACGAGAATCGTGCAGTGTATGGGCACCTTAAGGCTCCATTCACACAGGAGTGGTTGTCCACAGTGGTGTATTTTGGTTTTGTGCTGCCCTAGGCAAGACTAAACCCGAGCGCCCTCCCATCCCTAATCTAAATTAGTCCACCCCTTCCTGTTTATTACATTTTGAATAACCTGTCAGTCGCAGGATACATTGCGCATGGTTCTGACAGGTTGCGCTAACGTAGCGGGGCGCTCTAGTTCTACCTTTGCAATAGCCACCTTGTCCATTTCTGGCTTGATGGGCTCCCTAGTTCTGCAGCTACAATAACCATTCTCTCCTGCCTTGCCATGCTGTGCTAGTCTCTAGTTCTGCAGCTGCAACACCGATCATCTGCCTTAATATGCTGGGCTGTCTAATTCTGCAGTTACCCATCTTCTGCCTTTAGCGCTGGGCTCTGTAGCTTGCCCCACTCTAGAGACATAACCCGGCACGGAGCTTATAGGCTGCACTTGTGTAATGGAAGTGGTTAAGCATGATTATGACAAAATGCCTATCTCAATAGATCAATTGTAATATATATGTTAATTTGCTCTCTGCTCTTCTTTTCACTCCTTACTCAGAAATCCCCCCCTCAGATCCGAAGTACGCACTAGAAATAGGAACCAAGATGGCGCCTCCTCTTCAGACAACACACCCAAGACGAAAGATATAAACATCTTGGCAGGAAGTTATGCATAAATGGATCTAACCAATGATCAGCTAGAATATATAAACTAAAATACTTTTCTGCAATGCTACGCTTAAATATACACGAAATATACCTTGAAATGTTTGCATAGCATCATGCCTTTCCATGGTGCAGGCAGACTCCTGATGTGAAGAGGGAACTCTGATATGAAAAGGGGATCTGATTTGAAAGGGGGACTTTGATGTGAATGGAGGGGGCTCCTAATGTAAAGGGGACACTTATGTAAATGAAAATCCCCATTCTTTTGTGTTTTTGCATGGGATCCTTCCTTAAAATCCATACCAGACCCCTACCTGGGATAAGGGTCTGATATGAATTTTGGAGGAGCCACATGTCATTTTTTACATTTACAATTTAGACTGGGGTGCCTCAAGATCAGGCATATTTTTAAAAAGGTTAAGAAATGTTACCATAGAGTATACAGGGGTCTTATTTATCCATTTAATGATGTGTATGACTATGTATAAATGTTTACGTTTGCACCCATGGTTATGATGTAGGGAAATTGGGGGTTGTTTTTAGAGTTTTGCGATAACTAGGGATGCACAGATACTTTTCGAGTACCAGTGCAGATACTTGCCATTTTTATGAGATCTGTCAGGGTTGCAGCTGGGACCTGGCTCTGGCACTCCACCACTGTCCTGAAATCATTAGTCTGTATTGTTTTAGAAAAACTGTCACATGACAATAAACAAAAATGTATCAGTACTCGTACTTTTAAGTACTCGGCAAGTACCAGTACTCGTACTCGCAAAACTGGTATCTGTGCATCCCTTTATTTATAAAAACAAAATCGTACATTAAAACAGAGATGTACAAATCCCAGGAGCTCCGTGTGCTCCTTACAAATGACAGCGGCCTCCTAATTTTTGAATTTTTCTCTAGTGTAGTCTTGGAGCTCAAAAGTATCGGTACGTGTACTCGTACCGAGTACTGTACTTGGTATCTGTGCAACCCTAGTGATAACCATGTTTTATTTTTAGTGTTATGGAGAATAAAGAAATGAACAGGGTAGATATGAACACCCCCTATGTGTTGGCACAGAGGAAGTGACAGGTCCTCTTTATGACCATCAAGAGTCTATTAGACCCCTAATCTATGGACCACACAGAAGCTGATGGAGCACAGACCTGCTTCTTCCAGCCACACCAGCTAGAGAAATGACATCCTGATACTGGAGATGACAAAATCATCATTGCTTCTGGATTCAGTAACCGGAGGGAAGGTCAGACACTGCATGTGTGCTGAGCTCCCACAACACAAACCTGGTGTGGCGGTCCTGGGCCCCCATGAAAGACAGTGGGAGCCCGGGAGAGCTGCCGGTGGAGGGAGCAGTACCCTTTTTAGAGTCTGATCACATGTACAGTATGTGAAACCCCGAGTGGTGACTGAAAACTGTAATACCAAGGTCTTGTTCAAGGATCTTTACAAGGAGGTGCATATTACCCTGGTACTAAAGTAGAGCTGAAGCCAAAACCTTTTTTTTTAACAAAGGGAGGTTTATAACCATAGAGAATAATGTGATTATTTTTTTCTGTGTCAGTAGGACGACACACGCAGGACAGAAGAAATTCTGAACTGCCATCTCTTAATTGCAGCCGACCACCCTCCTCCGTCTCGATGTTCTACATTATCCCGACTCCCGAGCCCTATTCAAACATCCCGCCCTCCTTTTATCACCGCTTCCTCCCAGGTAGCTCGGCATTGGTACCACGTGACCGCGGTGGCCACGTGTCGCCGTGACGTCACTTCTGGATGTTTTGGTGAGGTGCAGCAGGAAGACTGGTGACAGTGAAGTTGTGTCCATCTCCACCATGACTAACGGTGAGAGGGGAGCTCCGGGGCCGAGGGGGGATATCCGGCTTGTAGACATGTCAGTGTGCGCTCCTACCGGCGGTCGCACACTGCTTATCATGACGAATCTGCTTCTGATCCGGAGCTGCAGCACTACTCCAGGC